GTTATTCGGATATGAAGCTGGATAACATAGTTGATGACATATGAGCACAGACTACGACGTCCAATATGGACGTTTAGGCAGCGTTCAGACTTCGCGGTGACGTGCGTCAAGCTACCACTGCTAATCGATGGGCGCCGGTCGTTAGTGCTTGGAGAGTGTATAGGAGAACAGGATGGTATGCGTTGTCTAATCACACAGTCTGGTGCCCTTCCGTTCTCCTGTACTTCTTTAAAAGCAGTAGCTGCCCGCGCCGATCGATATCCGTCGGTGGGTGCGTTCCCGTCCACAGTACTGAAGCGCTTTTGTAATGTAGCGCGTCGACGAGCTTCATTGCGAAGTCTGAACACTATCTCTAGAGCGTCTTTATCCCTTTAAAATACTTTTGTCCGCATCCCTGACATCCAGGAATACCACTTCCCCTCGGGCTTTCATTCTAACGCGCAGCCTTCTTAGCCACCTTGTTCTTCATATCACCTTAGGCAGGGCCCAGGTTGATTGGAGGCAGCACACCAACAGTTCATCTCTCCAATTGAAAACCCAGCCCCCCCCCTGACACGCCCCAGCGTCCGCAGCGAATGAGTGTACCCAGCAAAAGTTGGTTTGAGCTATATAATCCGGCTTAAAAATCATGAATGAAGAATTACTGTAAACAAAAACACCTAGAAAACAGCAAATTGATGACATCACTACTAAAGGTTTATTGTACGGCCCATTATAATGTAACATCACAACCATCAACCATCACAACGGTGACGAAACGATAGTTCATGAGGAGGATTCTCGAACCACGACGTCAACCAATAACTTACAACAAAAATCAGGGGAAGAAAGTCAATTGAACTACAAAAGGCATCACGAGTGAGTGTGACGAGCTGTCAGACTGCCATCAACAGCTTTTAAAGTGAGCTATACTGTATCTAGCGATAAGAAGGGCATCGAAAGTGAAACTTGACTTCTCTCTGAGCGCTGTAAAACCTACAGATTGTTTCGCGAGGCATGAACATCAATCACACATTACCCCGCATCACTAGCCGGCAGGTGGTCTGTGACGCTTCGCGACCGCGCGCATCACATTCACACAAAACACCTGAACTTGCTCCGATGGAATCTGTCAAGCACTCAGCTTCATGCAGAAATTCTTGAACCTTTTCAGAAGTCAAGTGTCATAATAGATGCAATATGGTAAAGATAGAGACGTTACAAAGAAAGATCGCGTCTTAAAGAATCTGACTAATATCACATAAATATCACTGCTTCAAACAGTTGGATCTAGCTGGTAAACTGCCACTAATTCGATGCATAAATAATGTCAGAGTTCTTTTTCTTTGAAATCCTGCCTAGAATCCATATAATATTTTGCGGAGAGCTGACGTTTTACGTGAATTCATTACCTATCACAGCACGGTGAACGAAATTCGTGGATCTTATCCGAAGCCACCATAGAGGGTTCTCAGAAACTGGTTCCGGGTGCTCAGAATCCAACAATAAAACGTAAGCAGGTTCCTACAGCAGTCGCGAATGTTGTTGTTAGTGGGGAAAAATGGGCTTCCTAAGTTTTAAAAAAGTAGAGGAACTTGCTCTGTCTTAGCTGGTCTTCTGCTAGAATCCTGGCTTTTTGAAGCTTTTGTCAGCAATCCCTTTTAGCGGGGAATCATCGCGCTGCGTAAAATTCTTACAAAATGCGACCCAAAATTTTTCCCCCTTTGGCCTCTTCACAACACTGAACCTACCGTCCCGAATTAGTGTCGTGTGTCAAAGAGGGTGGATTTGTGCGCAGCAGCGTCTGCCTTTTCTAACTGCTGCTTCCGATTCAGACCGGGGACAGTCGGTAGAGAACAGTCACTGCCGCGCTCACGGTCACTCCCCCAGCACTGCTCGCCACGACAGAAATAAACTATATTGAGAAAATTTCTAAGAATTTTGCCCTCGCCAAGGGTGGGTAAGACATGTCAGATATTAACAACCAGAAATAGAAGTTCTGCTGTGTATTCTCATTAGGGGGATTTCCCTCGAAGCCAAACACGACCCCCTCCCCAGCAACCGAATAAGACTCCCATTGCATTTCATACAACGATGATGTGCCCTGACCCTAAACAGCACTCAAATACACATCCTGCGATTATCGAGTTCCTTACGATGAGCACGCCATAACAGGCGCCACTTGACCAGTCAGATTTCTCGCGGGCGGATGGGGGGAGTGGTGGAGGGAGGTGCGAGGCCCGCGAAAGAGGCATTGCAAATGTCGTCACATGCGAGGCATTCGCACCAGGACTCCATTGATTCTACTTGGAGTTTCCGTGTGATGCTGTGTCTCGGATACCTTATACTACACCCGTCCGAACATACCACACAATACTTGCATGGTGCATAACTACGCATAACTTTCGCACAACAGGCCGGTGACCTCTCGCTGCACAGAGTTCCCTGCATCCCTATTCACCGCGTGTTCTTCAAGCCCAATAATTAGATGGAACCTTGTTTGAAATCCAGGTGGGTATTTTTGCTCCTCCTCCACTGGTAAGTCATTTGGCACCTATAACTTCATTTATGGATCCCGATACCAACGATAGGCAACCGCCGGATGTGTCTCTGAGATAAGCACCGTAAACGGGAGCCTCAATGGGTAAGCGACCATCCAACAACTATCGTTCGCTAATCCTTGGGCGGACCATTAGTCGTCTGCCGCCAAGAATCTGCAGCTCCTACATCTCCACATAACAAAAAGAAACCAGTGACATGACTTATGCACCAATCTAGTCTACACACAACTTCGATGAATGAAAATAAAGAATAAATATACCAATAACATTATTGATGTGCACATATAAAGGAATGTGTGTTAGAATTGTAAAATAAGCCACATCAGCTTCAGTTGTTGAATATATAACGGCCATCATAACTCTCACCTACAAAATGGACTGTGAAAGAAAGCAAAAAGGACCAATCTTTACACAACTGGCCCCAAAACCTACCTATCTTTGTGTTTAGTTCGCAGTTTTATTAGAATAATTGCTTGATTCACAATCCAAGCAAATCATCGAAATTCATATTAGCAGGGGTAGTCGTTGCTTGCGGTTGAGCAGTTGTAGCAGGAACTACTGGTTTACTCAAGTAGTTCATATTTAGAACCTGAAACGAAACCACAAAATCGCATCATCCATACAGTTCTACTATAATACAATCCTCATCATTACGGACTGTCGGGGCGTGTCAGTGCGGCTGCGTTTGGCGCGGTACCGAAGTCGTTCTGCACCAGTTGTTGAAGCGGGCAAGTGACATTACTGTA